CCGAACTATGGTGATGATGGAGAAGGGTGTGACAGGCCAATGCAAGCATCACCACGAGAGCGGCAAATATGTATTTGCTGAGAAAAAAACACGGCTGGCACTACCACCCTGTTAAAACCTTGGCAGAAACAAAACGAACCGACTAGCGACGGTTTGGTATGACATGCTGCCAACTGACTCCAAGAAAGGGTTCCATCCAGGATGCTTCGTCTTCTGGTTGAGAACCGAGAACAAAGGGCATGGAATGCCCATCACTGCCATCTCCTGAGCTGTTGTGATTCTGAAATGGCCACTGCAGTTTTTTCAATATCTACTCAGACCGCAGCATTGAAATCATGCACTGGCAAAAACCATCATATGGTGATTTTGAAATTGTTACATATGCATGGATTTGGCATCGGCTGCGTTGGGTACTTTCATGACAGGGACATGTCCAGGACATGTACTGACCTCTGAAACTAACACCATTGATACTGCACACTTGGTTTAATGATATGGTATGGTACAGTGCTTTCAAGTCAACATCGTTTTGACAAGGATTGGATTGTCAAAAAGTGTATGGCTGGTGTACTAGATTGGGAAAAGAAGCTAGCAAAAATGCAGGGCTAAACAGACTGCAATACAGTAATACAACATCACAATGTGGTCTATAGCTGTGTTCAAACAAGAAACACACTCGATGTCAAATTTTTGGTCGCAACATGTCCGATCGCGTTTCCAAGAACACTTAACAATCAAATAAGTTTGAACATCAGGAATCGGCAATGCTACTACAAATAATTTACTGTATATCATCTCATCTCTATCATATCCTTTCGGTATATTAGCGCAAAAATCACATATCGTGTAATTTGAGCATATTCTGTCCCTATCCGTTCCGAACAGGCGATCCTTTATTATGTAGATTTAGACAGACATGTGTGAATTGAACGCATCTAAACTTCCTGATCCAATCCCCTCTAAGACCCTCTAAGACCGAGCAACAGTTTCGCCAAAAGCGACCCCTTCTTCATGCTTTCGCTCGCAGACGTGGCAGTAACCTCCACATGCGTCTTCCGTCACGTCAGTGAAGAAGTGCTGCCCTGAAAAACGGGATCGCCAAAATATTATCAGAAAGTCTTGCTTCAGATGTTCAAGGATTCTGGGGACTGTAAGAAACATAATATGGTTGGAATGCGATGATTCACGGGGGATTGTCCAAAGGCCCAAAACTCACAAACACAAGGGCACTATGTGAAACACATGAACATACAGTGGGGCAACACCACAGCCGGTATCGATTGTCAAACCTTGAACAGAAGAACTAGGGTTCCAAACAAAGTAAGATCAATATGTCCATGAGAAACAAATCAAATAGGCGAATAACCCAATGGGAAAGGTAAGTACGCGACTGACGATTTAGAAATGATAACCAACGGCAGAAAATCAAGACCCCAAGACCTGAATACGGAATACGCGGCTAAGAACAAAAACCAAACGAACAAATCACATACAATAAAACAAAACAACCAACCAAACGAATAAACAACTAAGAGCTACTACTACTACTGCTACTACTACTACTACTACTACTACTACTACTACTACTACTACTACTACTACTACTCGTACCCTTACTCCTACTACTCATCATCATATTCATACTGATACTCATACTCATACTATTGCTGCTACTACTTATTGTGACATGGGGCACATGCTGGCCCAATGCAATCAACGACTGGGCTTTAGTGATAAAATATTTGGCTGTCTTTATCTTATACTTGTACTATCTCTCTAACGAATTAATTAATACCGATTCTCAGAAAAATGAGCATGATACAGTGGGCGCAAGAAACTAAATAAACATTTTCACAAATAGAAGCACGGAAACACAGTACCAAGTACACACGCATTATCACGCATTGCTACACACACGCGCGCAATTTAGCCAAAGGTCCAACTATGGGACCTCTCTGAAAGAGTGGCGATGAATCAGGAAACACCAAAGTTACAAAGTGGGTCAAACTGTATATACGGTCGCGAAAACTGAACCTCCTACTTACCAGTCTACTTTCCAAATGTCTGTGCTTGTCATGCATCTGTCCTTGGTTGCAAATGTTTCTACCTGTGGGCTGGTCTGTGGTTGATTGTTCTGCTGCTCTGCTTGTTTCCTTGCCTGGGCATCAGGGCACTAGCGTATGTGTGCCATAGGTGTGATTGTGGTCGTCATGTTGGTTCCAACTAGTAATTTTCCTTCTGGCTTGGGATTTTTCATGGCGACTGTTTTCTTTTTTTGGGGGGGGACTTTTTTTGGACGCAAGAAATTTCGCCCCTTTTAACCCCTTTGGCAGTGCCAAACCAATACGAAAATCACCAGTTCATGCTTTTGCGAAAATTACAAACAAGCAGAAGTATCGAGTAGCATACATTATAGCAGCGCAAACCATATATAAATATATTATATATTATATATATTATATCAAGAGGGGCTTGGGAGACGCGTTGCTTGCACAGACAAAAACAATCTTTTCTTTTCAGGCATCCTTTGAGGAGCAAAGTTTGATTCCATCCATCTCGGGTGGTTTGTCATTCCACATTCATGCTGCCACGCATGTTGTCAGCTTTTTCTTCATCAGTTTGAAAAACATGTTGTTGTTGTTTTCTTTTACTTCGCATCGCTGAATTGGCACCTTTCTTTCCATGAAATCACGCAACTACATTGTATTCAAGAACAAAGGTTTCTCATCAACATGTTGGATCGTGGTGATAGCTCTAAATTCTCTCTTGCGAATCAGAAAAGGTGCTGCACATCACACAAGCCGGAGACATGTCCAAACACACAACCTCTTGGTAGCAATAAATCAAGCTAGACAATATAAGACAAAACAGCTAACAGTAGGGCCTGTCGTAACACATGGTAGTGGTCACTCAGAATGAGTGATAGCTGATAGCAGTTTAAAGTTCTACTAAGCAATGAGGGTTGCCCGGAATGGCCCAAAACCAATGCCCACTAACATTCCTGCACCAAGAACATTGAAACGACCTCCAAACCAATGCTGCCAAGACACACCCATGATGCCGAAGGCAAAAGTCGCGCGGCCCCTCCAAAAGCTCGCTGGAGAACATGAGCTCGTGCTCGATCCCGGTCACCTCCGACACTTTGCGCCTGGGCTAAGGGAAGCTAGGCAGCTTCAAACATCGCTTTCTAGAAGTTAAACAGGAAGGAAAAACATTGATAATAAAAAGGGACTGAACAAAGTAGAGGTAAAACTATCCGTCGATTGAATCAGAGTGACATTTCGATTCTTGAGTTCAAAAAAAGAATTACTCCAAGAACTCACTGAGATATATGGAAATTTGGAATAATTTCCATCAAATTGATACCGGTATAGTCTATTTCTAGCCAAACGCAAGTATTCGTAAGCAGCTGCGCACAAACGGCCGACCTTCTTGCAGAGCTGGGGCACAAATCTTAAGCATAATCAGATAGGATCAAGAAGAGTCAGCATAGTATCTTTAAACAAATGTCCTCTCAGCAAACCCCTGGTTGAACATGGTTTTAATTGGTTTCGGATGTTTTTCCAGTTTCTGTATGGCCTTGGTGGGAATGAGTGGGAAAAGGAAAATATTTGGTTGTCGCTGGTTTTTGTGTTTTTTGTTTTTGCAATTTTTTGGGTTTGTTTTGTGATTGTAGCAGATGCCCACTTTGGTTTTTGAGGGGTACCAGGCATCTCCAATACCCCTAGAATAATTTCTCCCCTGGGGAAAGCCCACAAAATGGCACTCAACCTGGCTCCCTCCTAGAAGTCTTACCAATTTTGCGTACGCCCCCCCTGTTTCTTCCATATTCCCTTCATTTCCGTCCAAAAAAAAACTATCGTTGGCCATAGTGGGAATGAGTGGGAAATGTTTGGGTTTCATGTGTTTTTTTGACAATTCTTGGCAGTTTCTGGGCTAGTTTGGTGATTAGCTGCCCACTTTGGCTTTTGAGGGGTACCAGGCATCTCCAATACCCCTAGAATAATTTCTCCCCCGGGGAAAGCCCACACAATGGCACTCAACCTGGCCTTTTCCTAGGCATTTTCCTAACATTCCCTTCATCTCTCGAGAGAAAGTACCATGACAGAAAGGTGGTCCGTTGGACACTAGTTGTGCTTGCAAGTACGTTGCAAAAAAGGTGAGCAGCAATTGCCCAAACTGCATGATGCCTCAAACTGCAATCGGCATTTCCAGCAAAAAAGCTTTCAGGCAAAGACCGCCAAGCTAGGAATGGTTTTTGGAAAGGGCCGGCCAAATAAATGTAGGAACGTATAGGCTGCTTCGAGATGTTTTAAGATGCTTCAAGTTATATAACAATTATTCCAAAACCTAATTATTCCGGGGTATCTTGACGGGGGGGATCATGATTTTCAAATTCCAATATGCATAGCATAATCGTATACCTACCCCTTGAAAAAATATTCCTTGACAATTATTTCAAAAAAACATATTCCATAACCTAGTTGATACCCTGGAATAGTTTTTTAAGGCATGGGGCATCATATATATGCCTATGAAACAAACCAGATCATGTCACCTTCAGGCTGCATTGCGATCAAGGCACATCGCGTAGGCTGAAGTCCCCATACCCTCGCATGCTCCCCACACACGCAACCTGGGCATGGAAGACCCAAACGGCACAAAGGAATGACCCATTTGTTTGCTTGATCAATTTGAGCTCACCAATCGATGGTTCATACGATGTAATAAGAATGCATTTGTTGATCTGAAAATCTAGTCATCTATAGTCTTAGTCTTATTCACTATGAATTCTGAATTCTCATTCTTATGCCATGTGAATCGACTGGCAAACTGTGATTGTAACATTACTGTACTTGAAAAGAAACCAACACTTCCATCACAATCCCGAAAAAGCCATGGACCCCAGCTTCTCAAAACCCGCCAGCAACACAATAGTGTTAAGTATGAACTTGGCATTGCTAATCAATGATCCAAAAACAAAGGAGGCTACCAGGCTAGCTCTTTCGCAATGTTTCTTCTCAGAATTCGGGGATGGTGTGGTCCATGGAGGCCTTTGGAAAATGAGCACGTGCCATGCATTTTGTCAGAGGCCATTGCGCTGTCAACGTGTATGTGAATTTGGCGGCAAAGGTCTGCTTCGATTTTTATCTCTTTTGATTTGTGAAAACTGTTGCCAAAACCTGAGAACGAATCAGACCTTTAAAAGCCGCATGATCATCGATCCTGATGGCACAAACCCAATCCATGAACATTGTCATGGTGTTGCCTTACCTACCGTCGCAAGCTCTGTCAGATACAGGTGAACTGCAACAATAATGATGTTGCAGTTCACTTGTATCTCAAAGTGTTTGCGTTTGAAATCAAGGTTGAACTTGAACCTTCCCCAATCTGCTGCTTGCCACTTGAATGGTAATGCCACCGCCGCAAGCACTGTCAGATACAGGTGAACTGCAACAATTCAAATTCAGTTGTCAGCTTTGACCTGGGAATGATATGGGAAACATGGTGCATTTTCCAAAAGATAAAAGACATCTCTTGAGCAAAACAAAATAAGTCTCTTCCCAATGGAAATCCTGTCCACAGGCGAACGGCCATTGGACCAAAAGGCCTAATGATGGAATCAAATCAAATCAAATTAGCCATAGTCATAGTCATCTTAATAAATTATGATTTAACACAGAGGATTCTCAGAGAATAAAATAAATCTAGCGATAATGGGTAAACATAATCTATCTATCATTTATCATTAAATGGCAAAAACAAAGAACAGATAATACCGAACATATACTTCAATGCTGGCTGTAAAAACCACAAGAATGAACATGTTATGTAATATCCAGTGCTAAATATCCTTAGCCACCAAACACAATGGCAATTGTCTTTTTATGCGAAACTTGCAATCATTACATTTTTGATTGTTTGGTGTCTTTCACAAACACCAAACCATATGCAACATATGAGCGGTTGCCGGAACCCCGACACTTTGTGTTCAATTTCGTCTTTCCTTTTGCGTACCTTTCACGATACAGGGCAGGGTTTTTCTTTCGCGGCATCCATGTGTCTGAAATAAACTTTCGCGAGCTTTCGCGGAAGATCCTGCTCGCCAGCAAACACATACTATACTGAAACTTTTGTTCCCCACCTCCTCCTCCGCCTCCTCGTTCTCCACTCCACCATCAATGTCAACCGCGTGCTCCAAATCTCAGTGGGCACTGCCAGACCTCAACCGCGAGCGCCAGATTTCAGTCCCCAACTGCAACCGCCAGATCTGGGCACTGCCGGACTTCAACCGCGAGTACCAGATCTCAGTGGGCAATGCCGCGACGGCCAGATCTCAGTGGGCACAGCCAGACATGCGAGCGCCAGATCTCAGTGGGCACTGCCGTTTTCTGGGGGTGGGGGCATCCCAGCTATAGAGGGATTTCGCGAAGCTTTCGTGAAGATTTCACGGATTTTCGAGCTTGTCAATCATGTTGTCGTATGGATCCAGAGGCATCTGAGGAAACTGTCTACAAACATACTCAAACCTTGAAAGTCTCTTTTCGCGAGCTTTCGCGGAAGCAAATCTTCGCAAAAGCTTTCGCGAACGTGGTTTTAGCTTTCACGGAGCCATCTTACTTTAACAGCCCTTTAAATCTCAACATGGAGGTTTTGGTGGCTGATCATTTGGAGGATATGGAAATCTGGAAAACTATAGATCAGGACCCAGGAGTATCTGACCACCACCAAAAAAGAACGTCACATGTTCAAGCGTCTCTAATGCTCTGGCTTCTGCTTCCTCTGGGGTTTTCGGCGGAGGTGCTGCTTTGGCAGTTGGCTTCAAATACTGCTCTTGGGAGTCTCTTGGGGGCCAATGGATCGGAGTGTTCGGCGTTACAGTGTTAGGCATCGGCATCGGAGTGCTTAAAACCACGGCCGGAGGGAGTGGCGGTGTCTTTGGAGGTAGCGGCGGGGGGCATGACGTTGTCATTGGAGTTGTCGGAGGATGGGGTGGCGGCATTTGCATTGATGTCTTTGGGGTTGTTGTTGCATCTGGGCGTGTGCATTGCCATGCTGTCAGGCTAGGAAGATCCCTAAAATGGGAAGAAATCAGAAATCAATTTAGTGAAACATGGGGACAATTAAAAACCCCCTTCCTCTTTCAAAGTAGAATCTAAAATGCACTGAGACACGGGAGAAGCAGTCACCTTCCGGAAGGTGGGCATGAACACCGGCACCCATACATCTCCGATCAGGACGTGCCACAATGGGGTGAATTCACCCACCACACCAACTGGAGCACAAACAGCATCCATTGTGCAAAGGTGCCCTTGAAAAAATTAAGCAAAATGCTGCGATCAGAAATCTGAAATTGTAAAATGTGATGAACCAGGGCCATGGTTTATTATAGAGCCATTGACTCCAAACTGTCAATTCAAACTGTGGTCCACCCAATCTTGAAAACCATAGGTTCACGGAAAGGACATCCACAAATTTGGGAAGGTCCCATCGCTTACCACACGGTTGTACAATAATGATATAATGATATATGGTAAACTTGGGGGGTATCGCTTGCAGGAAACTGTTACATTTATATATATCTATTTATATATGAGATGAACTATATCAACGTCCAATTTGGGCATCGCTAATGTGGATATTAGAGAAATACAATGACATAACCTTGAAAAGGTATCGCTAATTTGGGAAAGTCCCATCGCTTACCTCCGGTTTTTTTACAATTTCCATCAATTTCCATAAACCAATGTCCGCCCAATACATATTTAGTATTGCCGGGGTTTTTGCCGTGGCTCAAGTTTGAACCGGTCGCCGCAAGGAACCCCACCCTGCTTTCCCACAACCTCTCTTTGTGACAAGGAACGGGTTGTTTCTGGAGTCCGCAGCGGCTTCGTCCAACTTGTCCTTTGCAACGCCACTCTTTTCCAAGTACCTCAATGGTTTCGCTAAGGGATTTGCCAATCATTGATTGAGCTTCACGGAATTTTTCCCTAAGGATGACAAACCTTTTTTCAATGTCTTTTCAAAGTCTTTTCAGAGTGTGTGTGTCCTTCACACTGCAGAGCATCAGGATACAATGCTCTGTAGGGTCCACTGTGTGGCCTGTGGGTTACCCACACTGGATGAGGACATCAAGAGCATTATTGTGGGGATGGAGGCAGCGTATACACAGGACCCATCGAGTGGTCCTAGCAGCCGGCCCCTAAATCCCATGTGTCAAGTCAAGATCCATGCAATGGAATTGTTTGATCCATGTGAGTGTAGGAACCATGTTGGCCCACTTAGAACTAAATAAACTTAGTAACTCAAGTCCAAACATCAAATTTCAGCCAAGATGCTTCGCGGCCCAGACTCGCGGAAAGACAGTCATCTCCTCATCCTCGGCGGTTGTCTTCCGTCCTTAGTACAACCCATGGCACCAAGGCAATTGTCATATCATTTCTCTCCTTGGATTGATGATCACCGCATCAGTGCTATCAGCTGTCACACCTATGACTTGCTAATATCATATCAGATCATACCATAACATTGTGTAACCTCAACTTATCTGCGATTATGACAGCTTGTAATGATATCGTATCATATGTCACTCTTTTGTTATTTCAAAACCATTGGGAATGGGGAATCCGCGATTTCCTCACTCAGAAAGGTTGGTTTTTGGATGTCTCTTGTCTGCTACAGGGTAAGGTAGGGTGCACCAAATTGAGTTGAGATGCTCTTCGGAGGATGCTCCAGCAAGTCAACCATGGGCACCATGGGAGTGGGCGGAGGAGCCGCCATGAGCCAAAATGGCTTTGCTCAAACCACTTTCCCCTCTGAACATACCCTCTGGTGAACTAACATAGCAATTGAAAATGGCCATTTATAGTGGATTTTCCCATTTAAAATGGTGATTTTCCATTGCTATGTTAGTTCACCACAGGGTACCTTTTTTGGGTATTAAAGCATTCTGAGACAACCCCGATATTCATTGATTGAAATATCTTGGGTAAATCCCCTGTAGTCTATAAATATTGCAAGCACATCATGAAAACACTCCTTATTTCCTTGGGTTGTTCCATAGTTCCTTCCTTAGTTCCTTCCCTGTACGTATGAAATCAACAGGAAGCCAAATTTAAGAGGCTAAGGTTTGAAATAACATATATATATATATATACATTACATATATATATAATATATATACATATATTACATATGTATATACATATGTATACATATATATATATATACATAGTATATATATATACATAGTATATATATATATATACATACATATATATACATGTATCATCTGGTCATAGGTATGAATCAAATCTCATCTGCAAATCGATTAAATTTCAATCAAACTGGACAGATATCCCAGGCTTGCTCTAAGCAAAGCTCATAGACAAGAACAATCCATTTTTTAGGATAAAAACACCGGTTTCTTGGAATCCCTTCAGCCTCATATCAAATACCCCCTTAGAAAACCTGCTTTAGATTGGTATAGTATTGGATCTATTGTGCAGGGCCCAGTCTCCGGGGTGGTCCTCAATTGCGACACCAAATGTAGATCACTGTTCCATGGAGCATGTGGGTTATGTAAACATTTATGTCATGGTATGAGTACCTACAGAGATTTGCACACTCTACACTGTACATACTGATGTGGTGTTTCCCCACTCGACTTGTAAATCCTGTAAGTTCCAAGTCTCAGATTTGAAATCTGGCAAAACGTTAACCTAATATGGCTGGAAAACCCCTGGTTGATCCTATGTGCAACAGTTCAATCATCTACATCTAATGGTGATTTCCATTCTTTGTAGTTTCTCAATCACGTAATGGCATGATATAAATCCCCGCTGTGGGTAGGTTAACACCTCATTTGCTGGTAGTGTCTCAATGATGTAATGGCATTAAATCCCCAACTTGGGAAGTTTCACACCCCATTTGTTAGTAATTTCTCAATCATATATATAGTAGCTCAACTTCTCAATTTGGGTCGCTCAAAACTGTTAAC